TTTCTTGGCATTGATGAAAGGCTAGCCCCTACTTTCCCTGTATCTAATAACCAGATGTGGTTGTAGGCTTTGGATCAATAATTGACCTTCTGTACTAGCTAAATAGCTGCTCAGGAAGAATGAACTCCTTAACTGCTCAGAGGACCCATCCTTGACTGCACAGTAGCTCCCAGAATCCTTGTGAAATTCCACAGTAGTATAGTTGTCCTCATTTGTAAACTTCTTAAAGTAATGTTGAGAAAAATTATTTTTATGATATGTCATCTCTGTTTCCCAGTGCAAGAGAATAACTGTCCACTGAGGTGCTAGTTCCTTAGGGGAGCGTAGCATCTCTTCTGTAACATGCTAAGGATATAGATATGGGGAGGTGATTACTCCTGTATATTAATTACAAGTTCTACTCAGTCTTGTACAGTGATAATTCATTATTCTTCAAAATATTTGTCCCTTCTACTTTTAAATCATAGGAACCAGTATGTCTCAATGTTTATATTTACTATTTTAGGACTCTTCTCTGGTTCTGCTTCTTGTTTTAAAGATTCTTAATCTGGTCAGGACCTTAAGGAAATATATTTATACCTTATTAGGCTTTTTTCTTTAAAAAATAATTTTAGTTGAAAAATTTACCTTAAGCATGTTTTTATTTTGAGTTTATTCTATGGTATCAGTTTGCTGTGCATATAATACAAATAAATCATTCAATAAAACACAAGAATTAACAGGAATTAAGACATAGCATTTCTTCCTTTATTCTATTTGTGTAATACATCGAACATGTTTTTATATTCTGGAGTCTTCAAGAGAATGATATGAAAAAAAGAACTGGAAAGAATATTAAGAAGGATATAGAAATGTGTGTGTGTGTGTGTGTGTGTGTGTGTGTGTGTAATTATTAAGTAAGATGGCAAGAAGTGGGATCTTGAGTACTTAATTAAATGAGATATAAAACTATCCCTCTGAAAACATGGGCCAGATATATTTTGATTATTAGGTTTATTAATCTTTGAGTTTGCTTTTACTTGCTACCTTCAGCCTACTGAAAATTGGTTACTTAGCAGACTGTCATTCATTTATTCAATGAGTATTGAGCCCCTCTTCTGTATCAGATACTGTTCTGGATTCTGCTGATTCAAAAATGAGTAAGACAGTTTATGCCTCAAGGGACTCACAGCTTATTATGGGAGAGAATAAGTAAAACCACAACTAAAATATACACAGTAAGTGTTATTATGAAAGTTATCTATCTGCTGTTCTTTGAGATTTACTTGAAATTAATCTTAAAGGATGAATAGGATTTCAGCAACTATTCAAAGCTGGAAAGGGCCTTCCAAGAAGAAGAGACAGCACATATAAGTGTACAGTGCTTTAAGGGAATAAGTGATTGCTAAGTCTGGAGGATGATGTATGTGTGCAGGGAATAACAACATGAGAGGTGTGTGTGTGGTGGAGGGGGATGGCAGAGGTATGTGGAACAAAGTGGAAGAGGAATAGATATTCAAAATCCTGTAAACCACGGTAAGGAGTTTGAACTTTATCTTCTACAGTTTGAGAGAACACAGAGATTTTAAACAGAGTAGAGGAATGTTGAGATGCATGTTTTTGAATGAACTACATGGAGCATGGATTTTAGAGGGAAGGGGTCGGAGCAAGACTCAAGGCATTGAGGTCAGTTGTAATACTTCTACAATAATACAGAGAAAAGCTGCCAGAACTAGAAGACTGACCTTCAAATCTTGATTAAATAGATTAAGAAAAATGTCTGTATTCACAGACCTTAATATACATCATTGATGAGGTCCGTAGAGGTGAAAGTTGGGGAAAAAACATTGTAGATTTTATTCTAACCCTAACATATATACTTAGATACTTATTTAGAGATACATAAAGTTACTCTTAGACTTATGACAATTGATGATATAGTCATACAATAGCTTCTAAATAATACTGGAGAAGAATAAGTAATGGCATGAGAAAATAGTCATCAAATTATATATAAAAAGCATGTTATAAAGAAACATGTAAACTATGTTTTCATTTGTATTTATACATGAGGAGAAACTGATTTGAAGGGTACAAAACTGACATAAGTGATTACCTCTAGAAAGGTAGATGAGATGGGGTGGGGGGAAAAAACTTTTTATACATCATTTGGGATTTTCATAAGAATATGCTCAGATATAATATGTATACTTAAAAAAATAGTATTTTCTATTTTGAAGAAGAAAACAAAGAAAAGACTAAATGTATATAAACCATAATGTCGAGCATAATTATATTCAGAGATGAGATTTGGGTTAATTTTTATTTTCTTCTTTTTGTTTTTCTCTACTTCCCAAATCTATAATTATGCATTCTTATTGCCTTGGTAATGCAAAGGAAACATTGTATATTATGAGTCTTGAACTATAATCTCATGTGAAAAGATAAAAGTATAAACTATCCCTAGCACATAGAAGTCGTTTAATGTCAGCTGAACATTTGTGCTGAATTGCTTGCAAAAGACACTGTAGAAAATTGTTGTGTCCTGGAAAGTCTGTTTTCCTATTAGTGAGCTTAAAGCTATTGCAGGGAAAATGGTACTGACTTATCTTAAGAAAGAAGAAAGAACATTATCACAAATCATAGAGAAGCAAGAATCAGAATTGGAGTTAGCATTACTCATCCAAGAGCACTTGTGAGCTAAACGCACCTCGTCCCAGTGGAGTAGATGTCGGGCTAACAGTCACAGCTACTTTATTTTGGAATCATCCATCTTACTCTGACTCTGATTCCATGTACACTGTTTAAGCAACTTTTCTAACTATAATTTGGCTTTCTGTATGAAATTCTAAGGAGACCAGGGGGCTGGACCCCCACATGATCTTATTTTGACCCAACAAACATCTCCCTTAGTTTTGTGAGTGTGTATTTGTCTCTGAGAGACTGAAAAAGTGATCAAATTAAAACTTCAAACCAGATCTGGAAGGTGGCAAGTTTACCCAGTAATGTGCCTTAGGACCCCTATTGGTGACCGTCCCCTGCATTTCCCTGGTGAAACCCACCTCCATATGAGCTGCCTGCAGACTAAAATGTGAATTAACACTTCAAAAAAGTTCTCCAATCTTGCATCATCAATGACTTTTAGCCTGCCCTTCAGAGTTTTAACATGTAAGCTTGTGTGTGATACTTCAGCATTAGAAGCTTCCTTGTAGCCTACTGTTAACTACAAGCTCTAGTAATCACCAAAGCCAAGAAAACTAGACGAGGGTTTAATTATTGTATATTTTGCTCTGACTCAAAAAGTCTCTGTAGAACATTTGTAAAATGCTTTGGCACACACATACATAAGTGCTGTTATTTGCTAAAAATAATATCAAATCTCACAAGACAATAATGAGACATATACATATACTACTACTTAGGTACAAATATAAGTCAATTTTATATGTGTATATATGAATATGTATATATATGTATATACATATGAATTGATCTTTATTTTTTTCTGTTTAATAATAATGTAAAATTTTGTTCAGAGCTGGCCTAAGTCTTCGTAACGTCTCACTCATACAAAGGTATTGATTATCCACTAACTATACTCTGTGTTGGTAGGATTCATAAATATGAGTAGGCACAGAAGTGGTCACATACATGAATTTGTAGAGAATATTGGTGGTGATTTTGATGAGGTCAAAGGAGCGGAGTGTTAGGTAGAGTGAGGTAGGAGGTAAAGTCGACCAGAGAGACCTTTGATATCAAACCAACACTACCGATGACCCAAGCTTAGTTATCCTGGGCTCCGAGGAGCCACTGAAGGACTAAGTGAGTTTGCATTTATTCAAAGTGCCCAGCTGGATGTGAAAGCCACATGTAGTATCAACAGGAAATCCTCAGACATCAGACAGGGAACTACATTAGGCAACTGTTGTGATTTGTACACTAGTTTTTAAATTCGAGACCAAGATCTTTCAAAATGTTCTTATTGGACAGTCTGCAAAGAGTTCCCTGAGATGCTGGTGGAAAGCACAAGTTCCTAGCCCCAGGGAAAAGGCCTTTTTTATAAATGATTTGTTATATGTACAACCGTTGGAAAGCCCATGATCTAGGTTAATGTAGATTTTATCCAAGAAATATTTCTATAGAGTAAGGTAAGTTCCTTGAAGAATGCCATATTTGAAGTTAAACTATTGGGATATTTGAACTTAATTTTAGGGTTACCACAAGAATGCAAGCCTTCAAGGGCATGATTTTTGTTTGTTTGTTTTGTTTGCTGCTATGTCTTATGTGGTTAGAACAATTTCTGGAATAGAGTATGTGCTCAATAAACATTTGTCCAGGGAATGCGTAATGATTAAGAATCTGGATTTTACAAATTCAACTAAGTTCCAGCTTATTTAGCATCTCTAAGCCTTGCTATGCAAAATGGGAATATTGATGCCTATATGACAGAATTTAATGTAAAAATTAAATTTAATAACAGCAGAAAAGCATTTAGCAGAGTACTTGGCACAGAGCAAGTCCTTGATCAATGAGAATTGTTATTCATATTGCTATTAATAATAATGTTTAACACAACACCAGTATTCAAAATTAACACAGTGGTATGCGATAGTGACACTCTAAAAGGCATTTTTTAGAGATTAATACTTGTAATAATAAAATAAATCCATCTTCCTTTTGTTGATCCTACATTGTTAGAGAACCATATGAGTTTGAAAATTAATAGTGAAATAAACAGCAAGCACACAAGCCGTAGAATCTTTCTGTAGTTTGGGGTTTCTTCTTTCCTTCCTCCCTCCCTCTCTCTCTCTCTCTCTCCCTCTCTTCGTTCCTTTTGGTGTTCTAGAGCTTGGGTCTTGTAGTGGTTTGTTAGAAGGCCTGAGTCCAAAGAAGGTAGAAAATGATGAAAAAAACAAACATTCAGCAAACTGATCCTATGGGTTCTCTTATTCTTTTGAATAACTTATCTTTTTTTTCTTTTTTCTTTATTTTCCTCTTTTTTTTTTTTTTTTTAACTCTAGGTTGTACTTAAAGGGTCACACTGGGACAGCAGGAAAACAGAGCAGCTTGATCTTACATGGTGCTGATTTCAGCACTAAAGATGCTGATAATGACAACTGTATGTGCAAATGCGCCCTCATGCTAACAGGAGGTAAGTCCTATGTAGCCATTCTCTAAGTTAGGTGTCATTGGTTTGAGGCTCAAGGTTTCTTATCTATGAGAAAAGACTGTGCTCTTTTGGTCAGGAAACTTGAGAGTAAGTCCTTAAGAGGTTATTTTGTTTTGCCCACTAATTTACCATGTGTTCTTCTGCAAGACATTGCTAACAGATTTAGATGTTTGCCTTCTCCCTCAACATCTAAGAGTGGGTGCACTAAGCTTGGTCCTAAATAAATTCTTTAGCTTCTTAAAGTCCCAGTTACTCTACTTTTTTAAAATAATCATAATGATACCTGTAGTAGAATGAACAACAATTTGAGAATTCAGCATACAGGAAAAACAAAAGTCTTACAAAATGTTTTGCAACTGTGTAGTGGAGTTCATTGACAATCCTATTGAAATGGAATAAGAACAAAGTATAGTTAGATCTAAAATCAGCAATTCAGACCAGCTATACCAAGGGCTTCGCATTATATACTATTAACCTCCGCAAGACATTTGAACTAGTATAAGAGATACCATTAAATAAGGTATCATTGGGAAAGAAAGTTAGTCTTTTTTGAAACTTCAATATTTTTCCAGTGTTCTGATTGTGTAAAAGAGCAGTTCTCAATTTGAATTAGTGTGATGTTAGCATATCTGTAACACTTCCTTAGCACTTACCCAATAATGACCCTTCTTAACAAAGAAAGAGCAAAACCTCCATCTACAGGTTCAAGGCCTTGGTTAGTTGGTGGCATCTGCCTGGAATTAAATAAAGTGTTTTTGTTTTCGTTATATTGAGTTTTATATCTACCTTCTATTATAGAAAGTTTAAAGATTTCTCTTTAACGGAGTAATGTCAAGTTCACATTTTTAAATGTATTTACAACATTTGATATTCAATGAATCATTGATTTAAAGAAAAAATATTAGTTATATATTTATAAAAGTTATAAATAGATATGGCAAAAACTGTGGAGTTGATACATGACTGACTGCAGTTTGAGAAGCACTAAGCTAAATCCTCTTGGCAAATGATGTAGCTCAAGAACTTTATAGGCTCTGGCTAAGCAGGAGTTGGCACCAAACAAAACTGTAACGGAAACTTTTTTCCCAATGTTTCTCCTCACAGTTTTGATGTTTCTCTGTCTTAACAGAATAGCTATCACTCACACCTTCAACTGTTCTGATTCTCTTTCTTTGTTATTCAATAAAAAATATATTTTCATGCTAGTAAGGAAAAAACTAATTAATTCTAACATTTTTCTTTCTAAAATATGACATTAGTACTATTATTATTACATATTGTTTTATTTTTTATACTATCTTACTTGAACTCCAAACCAACTCTGTCAGATAAGTAGGTAGAGAAACTCTAATCTCCACTTTGTACATATGGAAAACAAAAGTAATTTAATGTTCACCATTATATTTTAACATCTAATACAGTAGATTGTTGCCCTTAGGAACTCAGTAAAAGATATGGTGCATGAGTGAATGAATGAATAAACTTCTTGTAACCCTTGAAATCACTTTCAAATTTTGAAGCCATTGAAATCAATCATTAGGTCGACATTTTTCTCATCAATTAACAGAGCATAGAAGAATATGAAGGGGAGGTTTTGGAGAAATCTTTCCACTTTCATCCCCATCCCCAATCCCTGCATAACCACTACTACCAAATCACACCCCGTCGACTCCCATCCACTTCACTTATGTTAGCATCTTTTCAATATGAGACCATCCCTAGTGTTATCAATGCCAGCCTGTAATGATTCTGCCTCTGTCAAATCCTTCTCCTTAAGCTTGAAGCATGCCATTTGGCATCACATTCAACCTCATCAAACAGTTAAAAATCTTCTATATGTAATTTTATGACCTCTCCCTCAAAACAGTTGTTACACATTTAGAATTTTTTTTAAATGGTACCTACAGGTTAGGTTTTGAACTCTTTCCTGGAAAGGAAATTTTTCATTACCCTCCTGATCCCATAAGTGGAATTGTCAGCAACTTTATACAAAGACAGAATAATTTTAATTATCCAACTTCCCTGATCATTTTAATATTGAAATATAATTCATTTTCTCCATGTTTATTTTTACAGATAATTTTTCTTACCAAATAAATACAACACTGAAAGACCAGCTGTAAAATCTTTCAAGTGTTTCCTTAGAAGAGCATCCAATATGTTCATATTCCTGTCATAATAATGACAATATAGAGCGAAACAAAGAGGAGCATGCACCTCTTGGTTGTCAATGAGAAAACGTCATTGCTCAGATTTATGATTTCATTTCTGCTTCAAATGGTTGCACTTTTTAATGTCATTTCATCCATAATCATTCTTGGACCTTCTTCTTACTCAACAATAAGTATGTTGGGGAGAGAAAATTTCCATTCATTACTTGGACTGGAATAGTTGAAGTAAATGTGTTTTTGTAATAAATGCCATTACCCTATCAAATATCCTTTTGAAGGAATCCAGATCTTGCAAAACTATTCACTCTACAAAGCTAATGTGAGGGATTTAGATAGCTAAGAACTGGAGAACATAAGGGTGGATGTCAGAGACAGTCCAGGTAACTTGAGTGTTGCCTGGAACTTATGTCCTACTTAGCTACTCCCCACTACCACTATATATTCTCTGTCATTTTCCCCCTTAGAATCATTTTATTCACGTAATGATTTTTATTTTTTTCTTAATTCATATTTGAACTTGCTGCCTATTTGAAATAGTCTCTTTTAAGCAGTGACATTCAATACTCTTTGAAACTAACAATTTATAGTTCTCCGTCATCATCAATTAAAGCTTTTTTAAAATCTTATTTAATTTTCACTGTTTCTTCTAAAACAAAAGGCAAAATAAGTTTTATTGCTTGCTAACTGTCCTTATAGTTTTCTTCAAGTATATGGAGGAGTTTTAGTTGGAGAATGTGGCATTGTTGTTTACCCTTATCTATCAAAGGCTGAGCAACAACAAATGGGCCTAATCAAAAGCAGAAGGTATTTCAGCTAGACATATAGTAGAACATTTTGATCTTTCTTCTTACTTGACATTCTAACTTCTTAACTTTCTATCAATTTAACGTATTTTAATGAGTAGCTATTAAAGATCAACTACTATTAAAGAAATGAGCCAGACAGCACAAAGCTTGCCTCTATTAAGGAAGACTATCCACAAAAAAGTTAGTGGTAAGTAACACAATTTAAAACCATAAAGAGTTCTAAGGATTTGTCCTTAGAACATGTCATAGAGTTATGGAAGGAAGGGGGAAACGACTTTAGTTGGAGTGCCCAAGGATTAAAGACAAGAAGGAGTGTCCAGGGAGGACTGTGCATCTCTGGTTATGAACATTTCACAAAGAGAATATAAAGCTGTTTATCTGAAAGCATTTTATTATGCATATTCTTGTAGTTATTGGTCTAGATAAGATCGTCTCTTTCATTTTCTTCTGCTTCTGTGATTCTGTTATTTCATGTACCCATTGTGGCTGCAGTTGGGAAAAACAAGTAATGTTGTTTTCATTGCACAAGTTGTAATTCATAGGGCATTGTTGAGTGGAAAGGAGGTTCAGTGGGCTGAGAAAGCACATTTACGTCAACAGAAATAGATACAACAGAATTTTGCCCCTCTTTTCCTGGAGGTGAATGTACTTATTGCTACCTCACCAGAAAGCCAGCAATTCCTCCATCCAATTTAAATATTGAACATTTTTTTGTGTTTCATTACACATTTCTTATGGGATCAGACCATATATTTTGAGGTCAGAATGGTCACACATGTTTTCTATGGAACGGACCCCTTAATTAATCATTAAATAGAGATGATTTGTCAGCATAAATTTAAAAGCCAGAAATATCTGTGCTCTGTGATTCCATTAACCTTAAGAAAACTTGTTAGTTTTCTCCTTATGTTTCTCCCTTTGTATAGCATATTCTGATGAATCTGTCTATTTCAGAAGTAGGAGGGACACATTTAAGAGACGATTGTAAGAAATATTTTCTTAGTCCCTCAGGAGAGCTCCTGTTGTACCCTCCTGGGCCCAAAGAAGGAAATCTGTTTTATTATAAACATAGTGTTTTTATCTACTATTTGACATTAAGAAAATGAAAATGTAATTGCATTCAATACATGCTTTTTATATGGATTTGTTGTATATAAAAATAAATATGCAAAAAACCTCTGACTCCAAAATTATGAAAATAAAAACCTTTTATCACTAGATTGTCACATTCAAAGCAAACTTACATTCAAAGCAAACATGGTCTTTGGTACTAAAATAGCATTCATCAAAATAAGAATTTCTGAAAGTCTGTTAGAAACTACAGTTACTGAAGGTTGCCGACAAAAACAAAACATGGTATTGTTTTAAATTCTTTTCCTTACCTTACTTTTTTTCAACACAATTTCCATGTTTAGTATAGAATATAAAAGCTATGTAAAAATGTGACCTAACCTTCTGCAGCAAGAATCTGTTGTGGTAGAAACTTCAGTCTCTTTTCCCACGCATAAACTATGTCAGCAGACAGACAAGACTTTGCTAAAGCTAACAAAAGATATCTCAGTTCAGTCCTAAAAGAGGGGATAAAGCCATACACATAAATTTCTTAGTACACCCTAGAACTTACCAGATGCTAGCAGCAGAGAGTTGATAAATGCTTGTCTTGATGGCTACATAATCTTGAAGAAGACAAAGAAAACGAAAGACGTTAGTAGCTTCTCCAACTGGTCGAGGTGACAAGATCTTTGGGAAAATATAATCATCTTAGAGTTTTTAATAACCCAGGAAGGAAGTGCTAAGCATTGTTAGATAACTGGCATTCCCTAGGTTTTAAGGCGAAAATGTTGAGAGAGAAGATCCATATGGAAAATTTAAGGTCGATCACAGAAATCTACATTGCGTTAGTTTATTTCAAAGCAATCATTTATACATATCCTGTAATCCTATTCCACAGAAATTCACGTTCCTTGAAAGCATGGACTTTATTTCATGTTCTCCACTATTGTAT